AAAAAAAAAAAAAAAAAAAGAAAGAAAATAGCCAGTGATTTTATTTAGATGATCTAAAGAGCCTAGTCATGTTGTTGCTGGGATATGCAGCCTCTTAAGCAGATTGAAACTTTGACACCAACTCAGAGTTAAAATTGCCTTGATATCACTTAATTTGAGGCATAAGTGTTAGTTGAAGGGGTAATGTGTCTTATAGGAATTATGGTTACCTGGAGCACCATTTGTCTTATCTCATCTCTCAACTTTTCCTAATGGCTTCAGCCACATAGAGGACATTTCTGTGCTAGGAAGACACAGAAGATGAAGTTAATTCTCTGCCTTTACTCCTTTCCTTAAGTTCTCTCTACAATAAAACTGTATGATACCTATTAAATGGCTTTCTGTTGCATGTTGTAAAAGTGATGACCACTGTTTGGGACATTTAGAACTCTGTAACAGAATTTGAACAGTGGTAACACACTCACTTTTATTCTGTAGTAGTCCTTGGCAGAGTAGGGAATGAAATAAAAGATTTAAGTATACAGGGTTAATATGCAGCATTTTTTTTTTCAGAGACATAAAGACATTAAATATTTTTCTGACCAAGGCAAACCTGATAAAACTTGGAGATTATGGCCTCGCAAAGAAACTTAATTCTGAATATTCCATGGCTGAAACGGTAAGTACGTGTTGGGCTTCACTTAATTTTTGTTTCTTTTCCTTTCTAGCATCGAGAGAGATAACTATAATGCCTAAATCTTAGACACTTTTCTCAGTGTTCTTACAAGTTCTCTGTACTTATAATGCAAGTCTTTAGAAGTCTTTTTCCTAGGCTCATTTGTAGGCATTTACATGGTCAGATGTTCTTTTAAGAGTCAGTGTCCACATCACAGTTCTGACCTCATACTCTTTCTTGCACTGAGTCAGACTTTTCTAATAGCAACAAAATGCTTTACTGTTTCTTCCAACTTATGATCTCTAGTAGACTTTGCTTTATCTGTTATTTAGTGCTTGAGGTCAGGGTGTCAGACTTCTCTTTTTGTGTTTCCCTTGAATGCTGCTTCTGACTCAAAAAGAAGCCCTATATTACAAATAAAGGCTGATGGCCAGAGAACAATTTGATCCTTAATATCATACATAGTCGGCTTGGCGCCTGTAGCTCAAGTGGCTAAGGCGCCAGCCACATACACC